TGATCATTGAGCCTTGTGGAAGATAATTTTTTGTTTTGAACGACATGCTTGTTTCTGAGCCAAATGCGACCCAAATTAGCGATTGGTGAGCATATTGTCAAAATGAGAAGTTAATTTCATGCATCCCATTGCTCCCTTTAGCTGAAGCATGAGCCCTTCGAGCCATACATATGCTGCGATTTTCAGCACACAAACTTTCAATAAAAAATGCTCAGTGGTCGATATAAATGCAACAATACAGTCCATTAATAGCGCCAAATAGAGGCATTCTTGGTTTGGATTAAGGATTCTAAGATTTGTTTTCAGTCTCCGGGATTCTATTTTCTTTGTGTTATTGATAGATGTCCTCTCTGCTTTCATCCCACCAAGGTTGTGTAGTTGAAAGAAAATGCGCAGAGATGATGTCTGCGCCGCTGCGAACATCAAATAGGTTTATATGTTGTTCGGATTCTCAAATACAACTGCCGATGGAGGTGCTTCGAAACGCAAACTTATACTTGTTATCGAGTCACTACGGGCAAACGAAATCATAATCACATTAACAAACGTGAGAGAAATATGTGTTAATTAATTAACAGTAATTTAATCGGTAATTGCAGTTTATAATTCAGCCGCCAGTGAGCGTTTCGAATTTTAAATACGCAAATAGGATCTACAGGGCGCTCCTGAAAGGACTGTCCAACTTTTAACCACAAATTCCTTAACCGAAAAGGAGACGATTTAAGCACAGTTACCTACCTACACCCAATGTTGCTGCATTTTGCCGCTTCAGGGTGTCAAAGTTTTCAAATTGATTTAATTGTTTTTAAATTATTTTAAAACGCCGTTATCGATGTTTACTAATCTTACAATCAACAATTAGTAACTAAATTAACGTGTTTTCACATAAGCGCTATCTTTTTGGCATGGAAATATAAAAAATGATTATTGCTTCGTTAATAATTGTTTGCATCTTTGTTACCCCCAGCGCAAATAATTTTCTTTTTTTTTTCTACTACTAGCTGATTTTCTTGCCAGATTTTTTTGGCTATTGTAAAAAGTTTCTATAAAAAAATATTTTATTTACAATACCTTGCATAATATCATTCTTCTGTAAAAAACATACAGATTCGTTTTTACCTGCAAATGTATTGTATTGTTTGAAACTTCAAGTTTTTTTCTCAAAAATGGATCGTTATTCTGTGGCTGAGAAAGTTGACATACCTGAGTATACGGATTACCTGAAAGAAATTGACTTATCCGTGCAAGAGTTTATAGCAACAAATATCGGGACTCCTTTTTTACATCTAATTTGCAATTTTATTTTCAGATAGTCCAATTAATCAATACATTTCAAATTCAAGTGGCAGATATTTTTTTTACTTTCTAATGGAATACCATACTTTTTATTATACATTCCAACTATGCGCAAAATTCTAAGCCTATTATTTATTTAATGCTGGCCATCTCGTCGTTACATCTAATTTAAAATTTAGGAAAGCATATTAAATACTAAAGCCTATATTTCATCGTCTATTTTATTTTAGGATAAAATAAATTGAATCATAGTCTCAAATTCAAGCAGCAGACTCAACTTACATTTTTTAAAGGATTTATTTTATTGCATATTCGAACTGCACGCTAAATACTTGACCTATTCTATGTATGTTCTAAATATGAACTGGGCGAAGGAAACCCCTATGTCGAACAAGAAATTAAAAAATCTGGACAAACTTCTATTAACTTTTTGTGTGGGATATTAAATAAGTAGATCGCAGGGCCAGTATTTTCTGAAAGGAGTTAAAACGTGGACCGACATTACAGCTTAGTCGGGGTGTCAGCACGCGCCAGAATTATGAAAGCCCTGTTAGCCTTGTATCACCAAGTTCGGAAAAGGCCGCATTCTATCAATACACATCAAATGATTTGTTTTCAGATTAGGCGAGTTTATTTCATCCTGCGCATAATTTCATATTTTAATATATAAATATTGTATTTATTAATTTTTCCTTACAGGAAAGGCTATCGACCAGTACATAAGTATTAACTAAAGATTTTCGAAAGGTAACCTATGCAGAGTAGATACAGAATTAACTCACCACAAATATAAGTTGAAAAAGTACAGAGGCTATTATAACTGAAATGACGGTGAATTCGGCGAATATAAGGTATTTCATTAGCACGTTCAGCTCTCCAACAAATCTAAAAAATATAAAAAACTGTATCAAAATATACTGACAATGCATAAGCATAATTAAGTTATTAGCATCGGCATCCTAAGAACCAAGTACTGCTTAGAAAATGGTTTGCAATTTAGTTTCATTAATGCTAAATGACATATTTCAAACTATTCGCCAGTTAAAAAGTCCCTCTTACTAGTAAGATTTGAAACTTATTTTTTATTAGATGTGATAATGATTTGTTTTGTTAAGATCTAGCTCTTGGCTTGGCTTGCAAAAGGATAAGCTACGGCTTAAAAAAGGCAAGTTTTCAGCTTTTGCAAGCCCCAATAAACGGATATTTGTGGGTGGTTGGGTACCCAGAAAAGTGGGAAGTATTTTTTTATAACGAGTTATCCAATTCGAGGTCGGAAAAGTAACACCTTGCTATTTGATATCTAGGCCAAGGTAAACAATTAATCGATTTAGTCGAGGATGAGAAAATTCTGGAATGCTGATATAGTTATTATCCCTCCCGATGATGAACAGGGATCTGGAGAGGATTCTGATGATGACGAATCTCCTAACTCAAATATCAATCATATTCCAACTATTATTGAACCAGAAAGTCTATACGGTGAAAACGTTATGTGGGATGAAGCGGAACATTTCACTAGCTCAATTGGTTTCCAAGCAGCAAAATGCTAAAAATATTACCGAAAATGGAAAAAGGCTGCTTTAGAACTTTTAGATCTTTTATACCTCTCTATCCACTAAAAAAGTTAGAGGAATATTATTTCCAAATCCTGTGGTATGTTTTGAGTCATTTTTTGACGAGGAAAGTTGTACTTTCTTAGTGCAAATGTTTACCTTACACGCGAGGCAGAAAGGTGTTCACAGCTTTAACATTACGGAAGAGGAAATTAAATGTTTTATTAGCATAGTATATTTGTCAGGACATCTCCAAGTACTAACGTTGCGCATGTTATGGGAAAAAAATTCAGACACATTCAATCCGCTCGTAGYAAATTCAATGCGAAGAAATAGGTTTGACACTATCACGAAGTACTGCCATTTCTCTGACAATAATAATTTAGAGCCTAATAACAAATTTTTGATATGTTGAATAAACGATTCTTATACACGCTCCATTTAACGAAAAATTGTTCCGTATTTCGGGAGGCATGGGGCAAAACAATTCATAAAAGGGAAATCCATTCGGTATGGCTTTAAAATCTGGTATTTGTGTAGACCAACAGAACATATCATAAACTGCATTTCTTACCAAGGAAAACAGGCTGATAGGCCTTATATGGATTTGGGTTTGGGGAGGTCGGTGGTAATGACATTACCAGATGATCTAAAAGATACCTCTTTCACAATATACGGTGACAGATATTTTTTCTCTCTTCGTTTAGTGGAATTTTTGAAAAAAAGAAGAATAAGTTATTCCGGAACCATACATTTGAACAGGACCGAAAACTGTCCTCTAATGTATATTAGTGCCATAAAAAAAGCTCCTCGAGGAACTTATGATTACTCAACTGATACAATATCTTAAATAACTGTAACATATTGGAATGATAATAGGCCCGTTTTAACCATAAGCAGCCGTGATCCGGTTAACCCAATGGGTGAAGTAAATAGATGATTAGTTATTGTACTGTATTTAACGGCAGCGATCATAAGTCATATTCAGCTTCGGTCACAAGTAAAATTATCACATTTTAATAAAAGTATTAGTGTTTGTATGAATTTGCAATAAAATTGTATTTAGACACGGTTTCAAAAGATAGAAACTGACAAGTTTCAAATTAATCAATAAAGTTCGTGACATCTCAAGCTGGACAACACGTTTATCGGCAATTACGAACGACCTAAAATTTACATTCATGTGGGTATAATAAACAATTTAGAAAATTTCAAATTTGTTACTCACTCGATAATATAAAGGTGATTATGATAGATCTTCCTGAAAACAGTCAGCGCTTCCTCTTCCTGGTCGCCACCGTTAGAGTATAAGTGAAAATCTCGGGAAAGTCGTTGTATAATCTTTAATTGAGATATCACAAAAGCCGTCACAACAACAGAATATACTTGGGTGAATGTATAATATATCACACCGCCGAGAGTTGTACCGATGCCTAGAAAGTCGTAGTAAATATTCGTAGAAAACACTGTTAAACACGTAAACTACTTACTTAACAGATGTTTCCATGAAGTGTTTTTGTCTGTTTAGAGGAAACTGAACATGTGGTGCCATCATCGGCTTTATTTCAGTTTGACTAATATGTCGGTATTGAAAGTACGTTATAATATTACAAACGCAGACTGAGAATCCCGACGAAGATACACACACGCATACCAGAAGTATAATGTGTCTTACAATCTGCAAGAAAAAATATAGTTAGTTAGTTATAGAGCCTGACCAAACGAGGCACACGGGGTATTATTTCAAGCACAACATATTATGAACCATGCCAAGAAAGCTTTATTAATGTAAATGTAAAAGTTATTAAGGGTAAAATTTTTGATATTACTACAGATCCACAAACGTTGCCGTTAAACAACTAAGCGACGTGTACGAACGTACGGGATATTGATTAAACGTTGGCCGCCCTTCCCATTCTTAACCCTCCAGCGGGCGCGGGCGCGACAAAATGCCACATTTTTTAGATTTTTTGATGTAAATACTGTGCATTAAAACTGACGCCGTTGTTTTTCCAGGTATTCGTTCGTGATACATTTGTCCC